TTTGGAAGAACAGAGAGCTTTTTGTGCATTTTAAATTAAATATAAACACAGTCCATCGTAAGTTAATTTGGTTTACACGGCCCTTATTTTACAACTACATTAATTACAAAAGCATAGTATCCTAATACAATACTACTAATATCTCAGAGATCACAACAATGTCACTCCACAGTAGCATACGTCTGAAACTTGTTTGAATTTTCCTCCCATAATATTTCCATTAAGCTCTCTGTCTCTTCCTTCGCAGTCTGAAGCAGTCGCATGTTGCCACACGGCTACTTCCTGTATGATCACCAAAATCGAACCGACCTCTCCTAAGATTGCCGCCCACTCCTGAGAATCGCCCTTCGGACGTTGCCCCTCCCGAGTGCTTCCGCTTCGATCTCCCCCGTCACAGCGACGACGCCCTGAAGCTACGCAATGAATGGGCAACGAAGCTTCCTCCACCCATAGCCTCTCTTCGATCCACTTCCTCTTCCATTTTAATACAGGGTTCACTTCAGGTTACTCTGCAATAATTCAAAGATATCAAACAGTTTCTCTGTCATTAAAAAACGTAACATCTACCTACAAAAACATTTTACAGTAATATTTCGGACAATGCTTTAGTTTTACGAGAATGAAAAAAATATCAGTATAAAATGAATGTAGAAACCGAAAAATATTAATGGTATTGAAATTCTACGCTTGCTACCACAAAAGGAGAAGTAATATTTCCTTATTTAACGTAAAAAATAAAGTTAAAAACTGTGTGTCGTTCTGTAGGGAGAAAAGCAATGCGTACAGGGTTTCTTGATACCTGGGATGTCTGATTTAACTCATATTCATATTTAGTTGTATAATGAAATACATGTAGCTATGAGCGTTTTTGGCAAGAATTGGTATGAAAATATTCGCTTCCGTAAAATAAAAACTATTTGCAAAGGCAAATCAGCTGCAGATTTAGGCTATTATCCGTAGTGCTTTACGAGGAGAAATTGACTTATTGCCGCGATCAAATGGAAAATGATTATTCGAATATATACATTTCTGAAAGAGCTCAAGAAAACAGATAGTGAAGCTATATGCATGTCCAGATGCAAATTAAGGGTCTATCTCAACATTTGCTCAAAGATCAGGGAAACCGGACGAAACACCTGGACGAGAGGGGGGGGGTCATTGACCCAGAAGTTGAGTAACAATACTTGTTCCTGCATTTTTAGAATTATATTCTAAATACAACTAATACTTTAGATATCATTGTTAAACGAACATTTTCCTTTTTGATGCGTATTATCTCTAATTGCACAGAAAAGAGTTTACTTGGCACATAAACGTGTACTAAATTTGAATTTTTTGTAGAGAGCTGTTGATACTGACACCTGGTGAATGCGATTTCTACGTCGAGTGCTATAGTTTGACACCTGTTTTGGTTGGAACTATGATCCCGCCCTTGAGTATTTTACCATTACCATGTCGATCCTTCAGCCCCATCCCATTAATTTTTACAAGACCACTCATTCGTAAATCAAGAGGCACGGCAACGGTAGAAACCCTAGCTTAAGAAAAGCTTACAAGAATCATGTGGGTGGGATTTACTTTTTATTCGCACAATGTTTTTCTGTAATCCAAGTACAATTTTGTTCTGTAACCGAGTATTTATTGCGCAAATTTGTAACGTGCATCCAATCACATTTGGAACTTCCTTATGATTTCGTAAACTTGAGAACTTTATTTTCGATTGTATTGTTACGTTTTCTCACCATTTGCCTCTTACCCATAGGCATACTTTATAACAGGGATGTGCAACTTGCAAGGGCTCAAGGGCCACAAATAAAACCTTACTTTGGTTGCGAGCCTTATTTTCAATACGAGATCCACTTCTCACTTCCCCCTATTGTTGTTCTCGGCACTTTGCCCAATTGCTCTGAAACGGGGAGGGAGGACAATGTGGGATATCAGGGCGTATTATTAAACAAAAAGGATGATTTTGAACTTCTGAATTTACGAGAAAAAAAAATCCTTAAATCTAAATTTAACATTTTTTCACATTAAAGGGGGGTGTTGACACCGGCAGGCAGTGCACTAGGCCCATAATGTTTTCGCCCAACATGGATAAAAGGGACTTTCACTTTTGAGTAGTTTCGCGGGCCACGATAAAAGGCACCGCGGGCCGCCAGTTGCACAACCCTGCTTTCTAACCTTATACTTTCAATGCTATAACTCCGAAAGAAAACGCATTAAAATATTCTTACGGAGCTTTCATGATGTCACAAGGGCTCTCGATCTAACAAATTCGCTTGCACAGGATAGTGAATGCTGAACTTTAATTTTCAACTACTTTGACATAGGTAATGAAACACCAACATTGTTTTTAGAATATTTGCCGACGCTTCAGTCCCATCCTTGGCCCGTATTGACGAACACTGATATGCTCTCGCTCCAATTCGCAGTTTTGCG